ACTCGCAGTGACAGCATGCAGATGGAGATCGTCTCACAACCTCCGCACGATTCACTGCGGATTCAACACTTCAAAAGGACAAATTACATTTGAAGAGACTCTAAAGAGGCAATCTCAAGAGTGAACTTTAATCTCTAATAGTCTCTGAAAATCACCAGAATGGCCAGAACGACTGGAGAACATCAGCAGAGCACAATGACTCCATTAAATCAGCTGAAAAGACTTTAGACATGCCTCAGATCCACAATAGAATGAGCTCTGAACCTATAACATACTCCAGGATCATAGCACTTTATTTTTTAGTGCAACTTAAATGAATCGTTCACTCAGAAACAGAAAGATCTGTCATTATCTATACCTTCATGTCGATCAAACTCTAAAAGTATGCTGAATGCAAGAAAAGTAATTTTCACAAAACTGTTTTTCATAAATCTGTCAAGTGTCATGCAGCATTTTTAGGTACACTATACATTTTACAAAATATTAAAAATTATTTTATTAAAATGGTTTTATTAAAATACTATTAGAAGCGTAATTTTTAAATAACGCCCACTGCTCCTTTTTAATAAAATTGTTTTTCATAAATCTGTCAAGTATCATGTAGCATTTCTGGATGAACTAATTAAAAAATATATATATAAAAACAATTTTATTCAAAAATATTACAGATAATTTAATAAGAATGATTTTATTAAAATATAAGTATTAAAAATACTATTAAAATAATTTAAAACAATTATCACTGCTGCTATTTTTCATAAATCTGTCAAGTATCGCAGCGATTTTGGATGAACTATGCATTTTAAATTATTATAAAAAAATATATATATTTTTAAAAGAATTTAAAAATGCTGTTAAAAATAATTACAAATTTGCTAAGTAATCATTTTGACTTTTTCAAATAAATATGTGTAACAAATCGAATGAAAGCTGAATGAAAAATGTTTCATTTTGACAACTTTGTACCATTGTACCATCTTGATGTCAAAACAGGTTCAGATCTGCTGCTGCATTAAAACACATGGATTTAATAGTATATGGCTGGATACTCTATTTTAAAATGTATTTATTTGTAATAAATGTTTATTTGTTTTATGAAGATGCACAAATCAGACAATGCACTGAAAATGAAAATTTTGTCTTTAGTCTATATGGAAACCAGCTTCTGCCACAGAAAAATAAATAAAAAGGTAATTGCAACTTTTTATCTCACAATTCTGAGTTTATATCTTGCAATTGAGTTCATATTAATAAAAAAAAAAAGTATGAATTGTGAGATATAAACTGAACTGCGAGAAAAAAAAGGCAGAATTATGAGATAAAAAGTTGTAATTACCTTTTTTATTTATTTAATGGCTTCCATATTAGTCATATTGTTTGCTGATGGAAAATTAGAGAAATATTAATCTTAGATATCAGTTTTGTGTTTCATATCATACTAGACACTGCAAATAATCAGACAATGCACTGAAAATGAAAATTTTGTCTTTAGTCTATATGGAAACCAGCTTCTGCCACAGAAAAATAAATAAAAAGGTAATTGCAACTTTTTATCTCACAATTCTGAGTTTATATCTTGCAATTGAGTTCATATTAATTAAAAAAAAAAGTATGAATTGTGAGATATAAACTGAACTGCGAGAAAAAAAGGCAGAATTATGAGATAAAAAGTTGTAATTACCTTTTTTATTTATTTAATGGCTTCCATATTAGTCATATTGTTTGCTGATGGAAAATTAGAGAAATATTAATCTTAGATATCAGTTTTGTGTTTCATATCATACTAGACACTGCAAATAAAATATTTTCTTAAGCTTTTCTTAAGCTCAGGGCCGTTTCTAGGCATAGGCGAGCTAGGCGGTCATCTAGGGCGCCACCAGCTGAAGGGGCGCCAATGAGCGCACGTACTGGCACTTTTAGCAGGGTTGTGATAAAGAGTGGTACGTTCACCCTGAAATATGACTGCCGCCCCCACTGGGTCCCCCAACATCATTGGGCTAGAGTACTGTCAATCTGACGATGCCTGTATGCCACTAAGCTCCATTAAAAATGATCCAAGCTAGTTAAACCTGATGTTTCTTGAGAATCTGTTTTGATCGTGCAAATCATCAAAAAAAAATCTGAAATAAAAACTCCACTTTTCTTTTCAATGTGTATACTTTCATGTATTTCATCATCCTACAACTTAAACATTTAATAAATATTAACACTTAAAGCTCTCATTCATGTATATACAAGTACTATACAATACAGAAATTAGGTTAAACCACATGAGAGACGGCAGACCTGACGCTCTCGCACCTTCTGAAAACCTGCAACTATTTACAATATATACAAAACCAGCCGAAAACATCACGACGGTTTAAAAGCAGACGCAAGCTCAAAAACACACAGAATCAAACCCACAAACTGCAGGCGATGCGTTAGAGGTGGTTGCTGTTGTTTCACAGGTGAGTGACGTCACATTGGTTGAACATCAGGAGCACCACTGCTACACTTGCTTTGTAACACTTCAGTAGTTTTGTGTAGTTCAGCTTCATAAAAATATGAAAATGTACATGAAATACATTAATGGCTATGCACACAATAGATTACTATACTATTATAGAATACACTATAATAGTATAGTAAAATACTATTATAGTATTATATATATATATATACATACATAAAATCTAAAAATAATTTGTTTAATAAAACATAAAAAATTAGAAAAGCACATAATAAATTACTAAGATGAAAACTGAAAATAAAAATATGTATTTTATATATACAGTGCTGTGAAAAGGTTTTTGCCCCCTTCCTGTTTTTTTTAATTTTTTGCATATTTGTCACACTTAAAAGATTCAGATCATCAAACAAATTTTAATATTACACAAAGATAATGCAAGTAAATACAAAATGCAGTTTTTAAATGATGATTTCTTTTATTAAGGGAAAAAGTCAACTGTTTTGATTCTCATCTGTTCTTGGATTTCTTTAGATCACGGCATGATGTGTTGCTCTTTAAGCATGCTTCACTTTGTCAGACAGGTTCTATTGAAGTGATTTCTTGATTCAACAGGTCTGGCAGTAATCAGGCCTGCGTGTGGCTAGTGAAATTGAACTCTGCTTTCTAAAATAATGTGATTAATTGCAGTTCTTTCATGATTTAACAGGAGCGGGCAATTAATTTTTCACGTAGGGCCACGTAGGTTTGGACAGCTTTTTTCCCTTAATAAATGAAATCATCATTTAAAAACTGCATTTTGTATTTACTTGCATTATCCTTGTGTAATATTAAAATTTGTTTGATGATCTGAATCTTTTAAGTGTGACAAATATGCAAAATATTTAAAAAACAGGAAGGGGGCAAAAACCTTTTCACAGCACTGTATATATATATATATATACACACACACACACACACACATACTGTATATATATACAATCAAATAAAAATTAAAAAAGCAAAATTACTAAAATAAAAACTGAAAATATAAAATGTTTTAATATTTGCATTATATATATTTTTTTATATATATTTCCAATTAGCTTACGTGTGTGTGTGTGTGTGTGTGTATAAGCTATTTGAAAATATACATAAATTGATATAAAAAATATAAAAATACATATTTTATTTCAATATTTTATTCATTTTGAATTAGCTTTTATTTTTATATTTTCAGTTTTCATTTTTAGTAATTTTGTTATGTGCTTTACTAATTTGCATGTTTAATTTTTTTTTATATTTCTATATAGCTTTAATTTATTTCAATTTTAAATTTAAGCAATATTAGTGCTTCAACTTAAAATTATTTCGGTTAATTGCCAAGACAACATTTCTTCTTATGATTTAACTAAGCTTTTCTTCTAATACTTATTTAACTTTATTTATTTAAATTTCCAAAAACGATTTGTAATAGTTTTAGTTAAATGGTATAACAAAATCGTGTGCTCTGTCACGTGCTGCACATTTTGGCAATATTTTCACATTGAATCTCCAAATTAATGTAGAAACAACAAAAATGATCATATACTATAATAATTTTAGCAAAAGGATTTGGGGAAATGACTGTTATTGTGTTAATAATTATTTGGAACAGCAGAAATGAATGCGTTGTTTTTCTCAGATCATCAGGATATTTTGAAGATGAAACTGTAAGACGGGAAGAACCTCAGACGCTTTGATCTCCTAAGATATGGACAATACAGACACAGTGTATTAACATACAGCCATCTGTTTCCACATCTCACTGAGAGAAGCTTCTTTCTCGCCTCTACATTTGTTCCTTTCTCACTTCCTTCCCTTCACTCAATATATACCGTATTGGCCCGAATAGATATCGTCTTATATTCGGGACAATACGGTAATGTTCATAATACATGTTTACCTGACTAATAATAAATTGTTACATTTGAATTGATTCTGTTTGCTCTGAAATGATTGACGTTGCATCCTTGTTACGGCATTTCTGGTTAACACTTGGCATTCGTTCAAGTGTACTTAGATTGTAAAAAGTTAAATTTGCGTGGGCCTTACCTCTGTTTCTTGTAATATTACTCTAGCTAAGTGTACATGGGAAACCATGGCATGACCAAACCAAAACTATTATCAGAGAAAGTAATGTTGGTCGGCTTTTATCTATAATAGTGACCTCTGACTAGGGATAATTGTTTTATTCAAGTGAATATGGGGACTAAATAAAGTACTTTTAGAATGAGCAAGCATGGGGCGGCCATCTAATAGTATAAGTCAATTAGCTCCAGGACTGGCGAGTATGTGACCGTGAGATCCACGTAAAAAACGTCCGGCGCGAGACTCTCTGAGCGACATCTGGAGCACAATTGAGCACAAAATAGAAGTTAACTAGACTAGTCAGATGTCAGAAGAATACAAATTAGAAATTGATAGATCAACCCAAATTCGAGGTCATAATAAAATGGAGCCAGATTCGAATTTAACTTAAATTAAAAAGACTGAACACGCAGGAAACCTTCAGCTGCCATTGGATACCTTACGAAACTCTGCTAAAGTTGGTCAGTCACAAAACTACATCAGAGTTACAAAGCAAACGTACACGGCTAGACTCATAATAACACTGCTATTAAACTATATGAGCGGATAACGACGTGTTACAGCCACAAACACACACGCTAAAGAGTGAAGACGCGCGCATCTAGTAGTCCTAAAGACACTAAACAACACAGATTGAGCCACTGCATTTCAAGAACAGCACCTTTCACGGTTTTCTCCCGGTTCAACACACGGAGCAGAGGATTGTGGGTGACGTCGGTTCGTTCTGAGGTAAACAGTAGCTGCTGTCTGATTGGCTAGTGATCATGTGACCGGCGAGTCCCCGAGGCGATTGGAGTCCACAGTGGTGCTCTGGTTCTGGAGTCCGTCTGGAGGTAGAAGTGAGGTGATGGACTCTGGATGGGACGTGCTCTCGTCCTCTCCTTTAGGGCTCGTGGAAGTGGGTCGCGGTCTCTTGGTAGCTGCTATAGTGGTGTGGATGAGCGGAGCCGCTGTAGATGGAGATACAGACGTCTGAGTGTGCATCTGCTGTGTCGGGTCGGGATTCGTTTGAAGTAGTTGAGGGAAGGTGAAATCCGGAAGCCAAGTGAAGGGAGGATGAACGTCTGGAGAAAGCGTACTGAAAGCCATCCTCCTGTTACAGGACTCGCAGCAGAGCTTCTGATAACCCGGGATGGAGCAGTAGCGCGCCAGAACCTCCATCTGACAGAAGATGGACTTATCACCCAGACACGGCTCATCTGGAGGAGAGACGGGAACGATAATAAATAAAATATTTATTTTTAATAAATATAATAAAATGAATACAAATAACTGGAATAATAAAAATACACTAAAATAAATGTAATAAATTGCATATATTAATATATTTAGTTTAGTATTAATTAATGTATACAGTAATTAGTAACATTGATAAAATAATTTTTTATTTAATAAAATTAAATATAATATTTTATCAAATTAATACAATAAACAGAAATAAAAATACAATAAAATAAATTTTATAAATTACATATATTAATATATAATTATTATATTTAGGTGAGTATTCATTAATTTAAATATACAATAACTAATTTGTAATAACAAAATAACAATTTAATAATTAAAGGGGTGGTTGACTTTTTTTTCTAGGCTTGATTGTGTTTATGGGGGGCAGTCTAACATGTGTTAATGCTTCTTTGTTAAAAAACGCATTATTAATGACGTCATCTATATTGCTTATCAATTTGAGCCCGATTGAGACGCAGAGGATATTATTGAAGAGGATCGCGCAGAACCTGTGCAAGCAGGCAACCACACGCGCGTCCATGTATAACGCTTCTCATAACTATAGTATGTGAAAATAAGTGTATTCACTGAGCTGATGATCTGAATGAGAGAGAGAGAGAGAGAGAGATGCAGAGCAGGGCGAGGCCAGGAATTAAAAAAGTGAAATCGCAATCAACCACCCCTTTAATAAAATGAATACATACATTTTTATATAATAATAGTTTTCATTTTTGTCTGTTTTAATTTCTAATTTCTAATAGTATATTTTATAGTATTAATTTCTAGAAAGGTTTAATTTTAGTTTAATTTCTAGTACTGTTTTTTTTTACTAAAATACAAAAATTAAATGAACTGCAATTACTGATTTAAGTTTAATCATAAGTATTGTTTGGCATGCAATGTAAAAAGCATGAATATATGACAATATACTACCCTCCAGTTATTAATACTTAATACAGAAATGAATACTTTTATTAATCAAGGACACATTAAATTGATCAAAAGTGAGAGTAAAGACATTTATAATGTTCTAAAAATAATCAGAAATGTTTCTTGAGCAGCAAATCAGCATATTAGAATGATTTCTGAAGCTCATGTGACACTGAAAATTCAGGTTTACGTCACAGGAATAAATTACATTTTACAGTATATTCACATAAAAAACAGCTGTTTTACATTGTAATAATATTTCAGAATTTTTACCGTATTTCTGGTCAAATAAATGCAGTGAATGAACACAGAAGTGGATCAATAATCCATCAGCGTCTGTATTGACGAGTCACTTACTAGAGACTTTATCCAGAGCGTTTTCCGGTCGTTTCTCCTCCTCAGTGGTGAAATTCTCCAGTAAATCTTTAGTGGGACTGGGTAAAGACGGCTCTCCTGAGGGAAAAACAACAACACAAAGACACATTTCCTGTCAGACAGGAAGTCACAACAGTGTCAGATAGACTAGTTTGGAAACACTAATGCCTCTTAAAGGCTTAGTTCACCCCAAAATGAAAATTCTGTCATTAATTACTCACCCTCGTGTTGTTCCAAACCCGTAAGACCTTCGTTCATCTTCGGAACCTGCTGACAGAAAGGCTTCACTCTCCTGAAGTCTCATCAGCGTCTCATATGATCTTGTGTTTGTGCTGACAGTCAGTGTTTGTTTCACCTGTGCAGGGAGGAAGCTTGCAGACGGACACAGATTCGGGTTTGTTTGCGTCACACTGTCCGGAGCAGATGACCTGCCGCTGCCGGATCCCTTCACCGCAGCTCACCGAACACTACAGGAAACACATCACATCCAGACAGGAAGCACAAACATCTTCAGATTGTTCAGCGGAGCGCGTGAGGAGAATTTAAACGATAAAATGTATTACAAAATGATTACATTTATGAATGAAACTTAAATGCTAATTATTAAATTTAAATCAGTAGTGTATTTGTACATGTATTTATTTGTATTAATTAAAAATAATAACAATACTAGTAATTAAATTAAAAATGAAACACTTCTAGTAATTAATACTAACTTGCAGGTAAAAAATGTCAAACTCACAGGTAAATGTGGACTGATAATAACAAATATTACAACTTTAAAATTATCTTTGCATTCAGAACCACAAATTTAGTTATTCAACCTTTATTTATCAATTAAACGATTTGAATTTAAACGATTAAAATGTATTACAAAATGATTACATTTATGAATTAAACTTTTAAATTATAAATCTTAAATGCTAATTATTAAATTTAAATCAGTAGTGTATTTGTACGTGTATTTATTTGTCTTACTTAAAAATAATGACAATTCTAGTAATTAAGCTAAAAATGAAACACTTCTAGTAATTAATACTAACTAGCAGGTAATAAATGTCAAACTCATGGGTAAATGTGGACTGATAATAACAAATATTACCCCTTAAAAATTTAGAACCACGAACCTTTAGTTATATAACAATTAAAATAATTAGAATTTAATTTATTAAAATATATTACAAAATTATTACATTTTTAGATCAAACTTTTCAATTATACATCTTAAATGCAAATTATTTATTTAAATCAGTAGTGTATTTGAATGTGTATTTATTTAATTAATTTATTTAATGTGTGTCTTAAAAATAATAACAATATTATAAATTCAACTAAAAATGAAACATTTCTAGTAACTATTACTAACTAGCAGGTAAAAATGTCAAACTCACAGGTAAATGTGGACTGATAATAACATAACCAATTTCTTTGCATTTAGAACCACAAACTTTCAGTTAATTAACCTTTATTTAACAATTAAAATAATTTGAATTTACTTCATTCAGGTCTCAGGTGACTCTCGTGCTCGTGCGGGACTCACGTGGGCTGGCTGCAGCTGTTGGTGTTGCAGCGTTTACGGATGGGTTTGGGCTTTTTATTGATCTCGCAGAAGTTCCTGTGAACCAAACGCCCGTCGCTCTTCCTCCGACAGCCGTATTTAGTGTACTGGACACCTGAGGAACACGTGCATTAGCACTTACACCGTTTAACATATGCATTTATACACTACAGGTCAAACCTTCGGAATGATTACGATTTTTTGATGTTGTTGAAAAAAGTATCTTATGTTTACCAAGATGCATTTATTTGATCAAAAACACAGTAAAAATTATGGAAGCTTGTTTCTGCCACAGAATAAAAATAGTAATTGCAACTTTTTATCTCACAATTCTGACTTTTTTGGCATTTGTGCTTTTTCCCCCCGCAATTCAGACATTTTTCTTGTGATTGCAAGTTTACATCTCGAAGTTCTGACTCTTTTCTCGCAATTCAGACTTTTTTTCTTACAATTGCGAATTTTCATCTCGAAGTTCAGACTTTTTCTTGTAATTGCGAGATTACATCTGGAAGTTCTGACTTTTTCTCGTAATTGCGAGATTACATCTGGAAGATCTGACTTTTTCTCGTAATTGCGAGTTTACATATGGAAGTTCAGACTTTTTCTTGTAATTGCGAGTTCTTTTCTCGCAATTCAGACTTTTTTTCTTACAATTGCGAATTTTCATCTCGAAGTTCAGACTTTTTCTTGTAATTGCGAGATTACATATCGAAGTTCAGATTTTTCTCGTAATTGCGAGTTTACATATCGAAGTTCAGATTTTTCTCGTAATTGCGAGTTTACATCTCGAAGTTCAGAATTTTTTCACGCAATTCAGACTTTTTTCTTACAATTGCGAGTTTACATCTCGAAGTTCAGACTTTTTTCACGCAATTCAGACTTCTTTCTTACAATTGCGAGTTTACATCTCGTAGTTCAGACTTTTTTCACGCAATTCAGACTTTTTTCTTGTAATTGCGAGATTACATCTGGAAGTTCTGACTTTTTCTCGTAATTGCGAGTTTACATATGGAAGTTCAGACTTTTTCTTGTAATTGCGAGATTACATCTGGAAGTTCTGACTTTTTCTCGTAATTGCGAGTTTACATATGGAAGTTCAGACTTTTTCTTGTAATTGCGAGATTACATCTGGAAGTTCTGACTTTTTCTCGTAATTGCGAGTTTACATATGGAAGTTCAGACTTTTTCTTGTAATTGCGAGATTACATCTGGAAGTTCTGACTTTTTCTCGTAATTGCGAGTTTACATATCGAAGTTCAGATTTTTCTCATAATTGCGAGTTTACATCTCGAAGTTCAGAATTTTTTCACGCAATTCAGACTTTTTTCTTACAATTGCGAGTTTACATCTCAAAGTTCAGACATTTTTCTTACAATTGCGAATTTACATATCGAAGTTCAGACTTTTTCTCGTAATTTCAAGTTTACACCTCGAAGTTCAGAATTTTTTCACGCAATTCAGACTTTTTTCTTACAATTGCGAGTTTACACCTCGTAGTTCAGACTTTTTTCACGCAATTCAGACTTTTTCTTACAATTGCGAGTTTACATCTTGAAGTTCAGACTTTTTTCACGCAATTCAGACTTTTTTCTTACAATTGCGAGTTTACACCTCGTAGTTCAGACTTTTTTCACGCAATTCAGACTTTTTTCTTACAATTGCGAGTTTACATATTGAAGTTCAGACTTTTTCTTACAATTGCGAGTTTACATCTCGAAGTTCAGACTTTTTTCACGCAATTCAGACTTTTTTCTTACAATTGCGAGTTTACATCTCGTAGTTCAGACTTTTTTCACGCAATTCAGACTTTTTTCTTGTAATTGTGAGTTTACATCTCGAAGTTCTGACTTTCTTCTTGCAATTCAGATTTTGTCTTGCAATTGCGAGTTTACATCTCACAATTCAGACTTTTTTCCTCGCAATTGTGAGATTACATTCGGATTTTACTTGCAATTGCAAGTTTACACCTCGCAATTCTGACTTTCTTGCAATTCTGAGTTTTTCTTGCAACATTTTTCCTCAGATTTCTGAGTTTATATTTTGCAATGAGTTTATAAGTCCGAATTGCGAGGTGTAAACTCGCAATTGCAAGAAAAAAGTCTGAATTGCGAAAAAAAAAAGGTAAGCGTGACATTTAATCTCACAATTCAGACTTTCAAGTTTACATCTTGCAATTCAGACTTTTTTTTTTCTCCAGAAATCTGAGTTTACATCTCATGATTCACGTTTCTTTTTCCAGCATGGAATAAAAGATAAAAAAGGTAAGTGCAGATTTTTTTCTCACAATTGAAAAACAGCTTTGCATCACAGGATTAAATTACATTTTAAAATATGTTAAAATAGAAAAAGTTATTTTAAACAGCAATATTTCACAATATTACTGTATTTTTGATCAAAAAACACAAGTAAACATAAGAAACTTCTTTCAAAAACTTGAAAAAATCTTTTTCCAAATCTTACTCCAAACGTTTGACCTGTAATGTAATAATTCTCAGAGTGTGTTCAATGGCACACCTCCGCCGCAGGGTTTGGAGCATTGCGACCAGCTCTTCAGCGCCCACTCGTACGTGTCCAGTTCGGCCAGCAGCACGTTGTTGTTGGTGATGACCGGCAGAAGATCTTCATGAATGATGTATTTGTAGCTCAGACTGATCTTGGTGTCCTCGGCCTGCGGGACGACCTGTCCAGAACGACAAACTCAAACTCAACGCACGCTGCATAAACTCAACCCAACGGCAGCAGCGCTACGCCGCTCTTACCAGCACCACGATGCCTTCGTGCAGCGGCCCGACGCTCTTCAGCGACTCTTTGCCATTTGCCAGTGAATATTCCCACTCCAGGCCGTTCTCAATGAAAGTCTTGGACGTGATTTCTTCTTCCTTGGCGTTCAGGATGAAACTGCCCGTGACCTGATTTTTAACGGCTGAGGAACACAAGCATGGACAGAAGGGAGAGAAGCATCTTTAGAGGAATATTATGGGTTCAGTACAACTTAAACTCTGTCGAGAGCATCTGTGGCTTTTTGTTTATTATCATTTTAACTCTGTTTGTAAAGAAAATAAAGGCTGAAGATAATATCGTGCAGTATATACTAGTTTTTAACAGCAGGCATTATACAGTGATATTCAAACTATAGTGTGCTACAATATAACATAGTTATCTTCTATTTTAAAATGTTTAATTCAATTTTGTGTAAAACATCTTACATTGTAAAATTTCATAATACTTTTACAGTTTGAATTAATATATTGAATTTGGTTTTTATATTTCAGTTTTCATTTTAGTTTTAGTAATTTTGTTGGTTTTTAATTTTTATTTTTGAAATATTTCTAGTTTTAATTTATTTTTATTTCAATTTCAGTAATTTTACAATATTGTGCAGTATATACTTTTTTTAAAAATGTTTAAACAGCAGGCATTATCCAATGATACAACTGTATGGTTACATTATAACTTATATTTATCTGCTGTTTTAAACGTTTAATTCAATTTTGTGTAAAATATCTTTATGATCTAATGTTACTTACGGTATCTATTAATTTTTTACATATTTTTATTTCTATTTTCAGTTTTAATTTTAGTTCAAGTTTTAGTGACGTCTAATGTTTTCCCCCATTTTTATTAGGTTTTAATAAATATTTCTATTTGGTTTTAATTCATTTTTATATCAGTTATAGTAATTTAGCACTTCAATTTAAACTTATTTTATTTCAGTAAATTGTCATGGCAATATTTCTCATTTTTATTCAGTTTTTATTCATCTAATATTTATACTTTATTATTTCAGTTTTATTTCATTTAATTTATTTATTTAAAAAGCACTTTTCACACTACAGTGCATTAATGAAATGTATTAATAAAATAATGAAAATGTTTTTAATAATTTTGGTTTTGGTCAACAACACTGCTATATACCATACTATAAAGTCTATGTACTATAAAGTGCACAAATAGTAAGTGTAGTATGCTACTCTGAACACAACCCATGTGCTACATAAAATAAAATTCCTTGTACTTCACATTAAAACACTTCATATTTTCTCTGACAGTAAATCAGGCTCTCAGCAGGAGCTGAACATGAGCTCAGGGATTCAAAATAAAATAAATAATAAAAGAAACACAAAACCATCAGAAAAACTGCTTAAGCCAAGCGGGGAGATGTTGGGGAATCTAAAACGGCACACAAAGCATGATGGGAAGGCAGTAATTGGTCTCAATAGGATGCATGACTGCCCTGGGTTTGTGCCGCTGGAGAAATGCAGTGATGCACAGGTACAAACTCACCAATTACGTGAGGCGACGTTTCATTCTCCTCGATCACAATGTGCCGAGCGCCAGCAGGAATATCAAACATCTTCAGCAAACCTAACGAACAGAGCAAGAGCTCAAGTGATTACGCTTGTCAAGAAACAGCCCAATATTTCACTCAGATTTCATACAGAAATATTAATATTTAGGCCTAGTTTAGCACTAATGAAGTTATTTCCATAATAATAAAACACATTTTACCACACAAATTCTCAAAACCGTAACAAAAAAAACTCATTATTCTGATTTTAAAGTGAGAGAGATTCATCCAGTTATGAAAATGCAAAACACAGAGATGCTGTAGAGATTCAGAGATACAGAGCTGATCTTTATTTTTGGCCCGAGGCATTTTACATGTTCGACAAAAAACAATCCAATAGACGAAACTCGCAACAAAAAAAGTCCTGCTTATATTTCATCACAAAATCATAAATTATATTTTGCATAAAGCAAATGAAGCCTATTTCGGGACTAATTGAGTTATTTTCATAAAAATAAAACATTTTATTATAAAGCACTTTTCACACTACATGGTATTCATAAAATGTATTACTGAATGAATGAAAATGTTTTACAATTTTTTACTGAACAACACTGCTTTATACCATACTATAAAGTCTATATATTACAAAATAAGAGTAGTATGCTATTCTGAACACAGCAAACATCAACCACTCTGTATCTTGTTTTAATGCAGTAAAAGAAAACTCTTTGTACTTCACATTAAAACACTTCAAATCGTCTCTGATAAATCAGGCTCTCGGCAGGAGCTGAACATGAGCTCAGGGATTCAAAACAAAAAGAAAAATAAAGTAAGCGAAGTGAAATATGAATTGGACTTGTGTTTGTCCTGAGGTGACAGAGAGAAAGATTGAAATGAACGCTACTGTAGTAAATAATGAAACGTGGTTTCGTCAGTGCTTGTCCGGAGGACGGCTCAATGTGTTTGCTCTCCGTCTGAGTTTGTACCTGTCTTCTTCGGGGTTTTGGTGAGCGTGAGTTTGACGGTTCGGCAGTGAGAATTGTCTCCTTCACAGACGCCGCATTTATCCTCCTGTTTGTACGATCCCACCTCCTTATCACAGCCGACGTGCTGAGAGACAGAAACGGGAGAGATTCATTCATTCATATTTAATAGAAACAGGCAGTGTTGGGGGTAACTCATTACAAGTAATGCGAGTTACGTAATCAGATTACTTTTTTCAAGTAACTAGTAAAGTAACGCATTACTTTTTTAATTTACAAGAAAATATCTGAGTTACTTTTTCAAAAAAGTAAGCAATATTGTAATGCATTACTTTTAAAAGTAACTTTCCCCAACACTGGAAACAGGTCAGACACGCTGAAGTGAAAGAAAGCAAGCTAAAGCAATGATGTGTCTCTGAGGTCAGTTTGAGTTTGAATCACTGCGACTACATTTATTTGTACAGTCTGTTTCACTAATTGGAGTCATCAAATAATCCTAGAAGATATTCCTAAATATGTAAGATTCCTAGATATTCCTAGAAGTCCATGCACAGCACTTAACTTGTTCTTTGGTTATTTGTTTAACTAGTCTACTATTGTTCAAGTACGTATGTATGTGGAAACTGTGAATATATATATATATATATTTTTAAATTTTTTTTGGAAGAAATTAATACTTTTATTTCAGTAAAGATGCATTAAATTGATCAAAAGTGACAGTAAAGACATTTATAATGTTACAAAAGATTTCTATCTCAAATAAATGCTGTTCTTTTGAACTTTCTATTCATCTGTGAATCCTGAAAGATAAAATGTATCACAGTTTCGACAAAAATATTGTGCAGCACAACTGTTTTCAACATTGATAATAATCAGAAATGGATAAAAGCGTCTGCTAAATGCATAAATTAAATTAAATTAAATTAAATTAAATTAAATTAAATTAAATTAAATTAAATTAAATTAAATGAAATCAAATTAAATTCTCATTACCGTGACAAATTATTTAGATGATTTTGGAGTGAAATATGAACTGGACTTGTTTTTATTTTTTGTGTGTGTGTTTATTAGTTTTTTTATATAATTCTATTTAGTTTTAAATAGTTTTTATTTCAGTTTTTGTAATTTTAGCATTTCAGGATAAACTCATTTTATTTAAGTTTTTAATTTCTTATTTTCATTTAGCTTGTTCTCCATCTAACTTTTATTTTTAATTTTTTTACTGTACTTCTGATCAAATAAATGCAGCCTTGCTGAGCAGACGAAATTTCTTTAAAAAACATTAAAATATCTTACCAACCCCAAACCTTCTGTCATTTTATTTGATATATTTGATACATTTTAATATACTACTTATTTCACTGATTGATTGATTTATTAGATCAATTATATATTGTATTTTTAAGTTATATTGGTTATATTTAGTGTCTTAATCAGATGTAACGATTTGACTGAATCATTCAAATGCACCAGCTTTAGTGAATGAATCAGACATCAGTATTGTGTTCATGCGCATGATATGATTCTCACCAGACACTCTCCTCGAGCGCAGACGCTGAACGGATCCGTGTAACTGCAGCGCGTCCCATCATGCATCACCTGGTTCATGAAGACGACTTCACCCGTCTCTTTAGAGCGGCAGCTCAACTCGCACTTATGAGCCTCTGAAATACACAAACAGCCACGATACATCAACATCTCTCCTTTGATGATCATACAATCAGTCCTGTGTTAACGTACATACTAATATTAAAGGACTCGTCTCTTTGTATAAAGGCTAATGGGTTTTTTGCAAACATCACAGTGACTTTAAGTGTACAGATAAGCTGCAGACATGAACTAACAGGCACAAAAGTAATTTCCAAGGGTCTGTCTCTAATTAAAGTACCGCTGTGAATAAAAGCATCTGCGAAATGACCACCTACTTGCTGTCAAGAGTTCACAGCTCATGAAATAAAGATGAGAGATGTACAAAGGAGAAATGTGTCTCAAGGTGAGCCGTGACTCACATCAACTCATACACAAAACACGCTAAAGAGATTTCCTTCAGCACCAGAGTCAGCCGAAATGAATGCCTTTGATGTAAATGTGCATTTATAGAGTGTTTTTCTCTTTATGTCTCTCTGCCCCTCGGTCTGTCTTTCTCACAGTCTCCTTGTTTTCTCTATCCGGTTTCTGGCAGGAACATTGTGTTCCAGTGTCTCGTGTCTGTGGTGATCTTCAGCCGTTTTAGGGTCACAGTGAGTCCTGCGCTCTTTCAGAGAGACTGAATTCACTGGGCAACAAAAGTGACAAAAATACCCCAAATATTAAAAAATTAACACCAGAGTGAAATAGACAGTTTTTGTCACAATTTTATACTAGCATTCAAAAGTTTGAGGTTGGTAAGTTGTTTTAATGTTTTTGAAAGAAGTCTCTACTGCTCACCAAGGCTGCATTTATTTGATTAAAAATACAGTAAAAAATTGCGAAATTTTATTGCAATTTAAAATAGCTGTTTTCTATGTGAATATCTGTTAAA